GACCACCAGTAAGAGTCCTAATGGGCACAGATTTGAGTAAGCCCACCTATAATATGATCGACTGCAGTTTGCCTCTACACACTGGCACTGAGGCCACTTTGGTTCAAATTTCACTGTTGACTTGAAGAGTCATTCACCAGCACCTTTTGTCCCACAGTGCTCCGCTGAACTAACCTCCAGTTTGGTCCTCTGCCAATTGCTGTTGTCAGAAATCCCAAGGAACCCAATATTCATACTTGTTCTTTCTGCAAGTCCCTGGCCAGCTCCTTCTTCCTCATCCCTCCCAGTTTTGAGCCCATTGACCAATTTCGGGAAAGTCTGAAAGAAGGATGGAAACCTCAACAATACCTGATTTTTAAACATATTGCAATGGGCAGCTAAGTAGGAGCCCCAGCTCATATGCCCAGGGTAAAGAAGGAAGATCAGCCCACACACTCTGCATTACCCAGCATGGACGTGAATACAGGATTACCCACACCAAATACTGGCTCTTGGGTTGTTTTTCTCAGGCCTAACATTGGCTCTTGGCCAGCATTAGGAGACATCCAGAACACTGCAATATTGTGCAGCTGTTCTGGTGGGATTGGAGTTACTGAAGTGCATGGACAGAAAGGACACAGTTGGCAACCCAGGTTCATTAGTATGACTGTTGATGGAACATGTTATTTCATTGCTCAAACGAAAAATTCAATATTACTGGAAAGGATGAAATTCACAAGGGAAATCACACACACACAAAAAAAACCCACAACCAAACAAAATAAAGGAGATGAAGGAAGATGTTTTACATGGTGGTGATTCATTCTGAGACAAAGGAAAAGGAAAGAATAGCCCTAACCATTTGGATCCCCAAATACCAAATATATAAGCTTATTGCTGTAATAGCTCCTCCAGACATGAGTCATACATTTTAAAACCTTATGGGGTCAATCAATTTAACTTCATAAATGAATTACACCACCAAAACCAGACCAAAACCAGACCAATGAATCCAGGCTGGCTCATTTCAACCTTTCAGAGCTGTCAATAAAACTGGATGTAAGCTGAAATGCTTACCAGCAAAAGCTGAAAGCAGTAAATAAAATTTAATAGGCTGGTTTTGTCAACTCTACAGGAATGATGCCTGAGAAAAAAACCAACTCAAGCTTGAACTAATGGAATTCCTAAAGGATATGCAAAGACTGTTTCATTTCTACATGCCTAATGGTCAAGGTTTCTGTTTGGTTATCTTTATGTACATAACCCACAGAATTTCTGAATTAAGACCAGCACCTGACATATAAAATATTTAGAAGGGCTTCCAATCCTGATAAAAAGATCTATTGCCTCCATCAATAGCTGGTTCCTGTAACTACCCTCACTTATGTTTAATTTAAATTTTTGTCCCTTCACTTTCCAACAGCTTGATATTTTTTAAGCTATTATCTGCTACATTACATTGCCCTCCTCTTTCATTTATCTTCCCTCCATGTGGTCAAGTTACCTTTTAACCTTTTCTTTGCAACAAATTGACATCCTTCCACCTCCCACTACAGATGACTCACAGTGCTATAGTGGTGTTTGGGTTTAATTTATTTTCCCTTTGCTGGTGTGACATAAAGAGAAATAGTGTTTCCAACCTCATCTTTATTTTCTGCTTTCTTATTTCTCCTACAGCAAATATACTGCGAGTATATGAGGCCAGATTGCTAAGATGGAAACAGAAGTCAGAATCCTTTACTATCAAACCAAACCCACACTGCCCTCCTCACTTCTAGCATCTGTAAACCATCAGCCTGGGTAGAGATGGTCTCCCCTGATATTTAGATTAGGAAATAAATATTGTATCCCCAACACTGTGGAATAACTGCAGTCAGCAAACGTCAGCTTCTGTGGTAAAGCCAGGAGAGACCTGAGCTTGGTCCTGCTCTAGGTCAAGACCTAACTAATCTCAAGGCATGAAATGTAGTATCCAGTAACAGTACCCTGAGCCACCTTGTTCTCTGAGTCAAAAATAAACCTTCTCTACGTGCCAGAGTGGCATTGCTGATCTCCACCTTCTCCATCCCCCTGGTGAAACAGAAAAGCTGGAGAATAAGCAAAACCAGCAACTTAAATTCCATGCTATAGTCGGCTGTAGTGCCGATGTTCCCTTAACACTGCATAACATTGCTTTGATTAATCTGATAATGGTACGCCCCCAGAAATAGAATGACATCTGCTATTTAAGATAGGTTTGGTACAATTATGCCTGTTGCAGTGTTTGTGTCTCATTTCTTCCAAGGATATGGAACTTCACTTTTTCTGTTAAAACTAGAAAAAGATTACAATAAACATGTCTTACTCTGTGATATAAAGCTCAAACTACAAAAGATAGATTACACAAAATTACTCTCACTTGCATTCTGAAGATGGAGCTTGTCATTAGAAAGATGAACACTTTATATTCTTCTTACATTTTCTAATATTAAAATGACAGATATTATGGCAAGCACCATAATCTGTTCCACTGCAGTGCAAATGGTGCCCATCACCTCCCTAATAACACTGCAAAAGCTAGAGATGAGAGTTCATTATTTTCTTTGCTGTCTGTCGAGATATTGCTGATCCATATAATTATTGCCACTGCAGAGATGTGCAGTGTTGGGACAGCATTAGTGCTCTTCCCTGGGCAGTTGCACTGTACTGATATTGGGACTGTATTGCTCCCAGCATTGTTATACTGGAAACATAGGTCTGATAAATTCTGTTTGTATTTCAATATCTGTTAAAGGTTATAGGCAAGCTCCAATTTCTTAGCATTCAACTGGGAGAGAGCAGCTTGCTGCCCGAGCTGACACGGATAAAGCTGTACACTCAGCAGGGTCCTACCCTTTCCTTGATAGAGGCAAGGTCAGCAAGTCTGGTTCTTTCCACTTGCATCTCACTTAAGAACAATAGCCCATTTTCAGCTTCTCTTTCAGTGACTGAGACCAGAAAAGTCTGTTATGTGGTCACAAATATAGGCAGTGAGGAGTTTTCCAACTCAGCAGATTTCATCTCATGGATCCAAAAGCAGATTTATCTAAAACATGCACAGAGAGTGTACTGGTTTGGGCTGAACTTGTGAGCAGGCATGGGGGACGTACACAGGGTACGTGCAGCACAAGGTTGGCCCAGGACACAGGAGGCCTGCGTTCAAGTCCATGCTCCATTGACTTCTGTATAAGGCCGTGATTCTGTCCCTCTGGTGAGACACATCCTCACTGCCCTGTTTCAGGTCCTATTGCAAGCAGGCTATGCACTCAGTGCAAAACTGCCAGAATTAGTGATCTCATATGAAAGGAAGCACTGGTCGATGACTTAGTTTCAGCAGCAGCTCAATGACCTGAGGATGTTTTCCTTCTAACGTAAACAGGAGCATTTAATCTCCTACTTTACCGGGCTCTGTTTGACTTCACCTACCATTATCGCAATGATGTTGGTGGAGAGCAGAGCTAGCCCTGGATTATGTACAGTACCCATAACAAATGTAATCAGGCTGAATTACCAGGGATTGACTCTTGGGCTCCTGGAAATAAATTGCAGTATTACATTTGTCACCTGTGAGCCTTTAACAGCCACAAAACACTCACAGCATAGGCCTATGGTCAACTTCAAGCAAATTATATAAGGCACTTCATGCTGTGATTAAGATGAACTGGACCCTGAAGACTGATGTGCATGTTCATCACAATTTATCTTCAAAGATTGCCTATAAATCCTAAAAAAGGAGGTGTTCATTGGCTTTTGGGTTTGTTTTTTTTTTCAAGCAAAAAGGAATGTAAGTATATTTAAAGTTACATGAATGTAACAGTATAAACAAGAACGGAGCATTTTTAAATCATGTCCAGTTAAAGAAGTACCAGGAATTACATCATTTTTTCAGGATCCACCATTTACTTTCTGACACTGACACCAGCAGATCCATTATATGGTCCAAATTCATGGCCAAACACATCTTGCACTTGTGTCCAATATATACACAAAAAAAAGGTAAATCTGATCCCAAGCAAATGTTAATTTGAGGCTTTTCCCTCCACACCTTCAAAACATGACTTCCAGCATTTAAATGAAGTAATTCAGTTAACAGAGCTTAAAAACAGAGCACAAAATACCAGGAGAATGAGGCCAGCTCTTCAGAGGTCCATCAACTAGGGCTGGAGAACAAGGAAACCCCTTTCCTGCTGAGCTGGTCAGTGCCACACTCTGTGTACTACCGAGATCATGGGGCACAAGGCTTCCTCTCCACTTGCTAGCCTGCCTCTCACATAGAGTCTGGGTGACAAACAATGATAGGACAAGAGGTAATGGGCACAAGCTGGAACACAGGAGGTTCCACTTAAATTTGAGAAGAAACTTCTTCTCAGTGAGGGTGACAGAGCACTGGCCCAGGCTGCCCAGAGAGGTTGTGGAGTCTCCTTCTCTGGAGACATTCAAAACCCGCCTGGACGCCTTCCTGTCCAACCTCATCTAGGTGTTCCTGCTCCGGCAGGGGGATTGGACTGGATGATCTTTTGTGGTCCCTTCCAATCCCTAACGTTCTGTGATTCTGTGATTCTGTGAAAAGCAAGGGGACAGCTCTTTTTGGGAATGAGTCATGCCAGAGAGCTAACACATGGAAAAGGGCATCATTCTGCCTACTGGCTATGCCCTACATTAGCTCAGCCCACCTCTCCTCCCCCTTCCTTGCTTCTCCTAGGTCAGTGGTGACTCATCTGTACGTTAATGGAGGCCTCTGAGGCTTAATTCACTATCTAAAAAGAGCTTTGAGACCATCAAGTGAAGGACGCTAAAGAAGCACAAAGAGGTAAGTCTTGTAGCTCATATCCATGTGCTAAGTATGTGACTTTGTATTTTTTTTTCCTTTTATAAAAAAAATATATATACCTGATCATAGACCAGGGAGAGAGCCCCTCATCCCCTCCACCCTTCCCCCCGTGATGTATCTTCCCCCTTTGCTTTCTTGTGTGTGAAGTTTAGAAAGAGGGGATCCAACATACCCAGCAATCGAATTTGCATGACTGCGCCATGTAAAACGAAGAACATCCAGAGGGGCTGAGAACAGTCCACGCAGACCTGCATGCCAGTGCTGGCACCGTTGTGACTCAAGTGCAGCTCACCATCTGAATTCACCATAAATCCAAGGATGTCTCCGCTCTGGAGGGGCACCACGACTCGGCAGATGGCCCAGAACTCCTTTCGGTCGACCAAGGACTCGGGGTTATAGGGAAGGTCACTGGGGCGCAAGGTGCTGGGGTCACAGGATGTCACCCCATATGACAGCGTCCCCGTGCGCACGGCGTTGGACTTGTTGATTTTGACAAAAATGGTTTCATTGATCCGCAGGGGTCTGCTGGTGAAAACCAAAGTCCTCTCCTCTCGGGCGTGCTCCAGACGGGCCACGGTTTGGTCATCGAGGATTTTGACGTGGGGTCCCCGGAGGTGGTGGAAGCGGAGGTCGCTCTCCAGCTGAGAGGGGAGGAGGTGGGAGTGCTGGGAGTTGAGGGAGTTCTGCGGGATGGGACACGTGGTGGCCGTGACATGGAAAGACTCCTCCTGCAGGTTGAGGTCACACAGGCTGACCGAGAGGCGCGTGTCCTCCGTCTCCCGCCGCAGGGAGGGCCGGCGGATGGCGGTGAAAGAGCGGGGCCGCAGGCAGTCAGGAGGAATGATTTCACTGTCTGTGGGAGAGAGAAGATAAAAAAGGGGTCACTTCAGGGAAAATTAAAGTGTCCAGGAGCTTGCAAATCACTATTGTTTTTGATTCATATGTTTAAAAGGGAAAATCAGAAACCTGTTGCCATTAATAGGTTTTCCCCTTTAAAATATGGAAGCAGAGTATCATAAAATGCATTTGCAATTGATTGCTGTTCTGGTACTTTCCTCACCAGCATCACCATTTTCAGCTTCTGAGCAGGCAGACTCAAAATCAATGGAAAGAATTGAACAAGGGAGGCACTCCTTGGAGAGGGGAAGCAGAGGGTAAATATCTGAAGTACACTCTGAACATATCAATCAATAGCTATACAGGCTCCAAATCATCACACCCTCTTTATTGTCTACAGTAATTCTCATAGATCTAGGAAATAAATATCTAACTACACATTTTTTTATTTTCAAAAAAATGCTATGTTCAATTCGAATTTATTTATCATCATATAAAATTTAGTTAATATTCCTGTATATAATTAATCATTAGTGTTCTGGTGCTCACTGCAAACCAGTACAGATACGGATTTCACACTGCAGAACTTGGGAATATGCAGTTTTCTATAAATAACATAGAATCATTTATTATCTCCAAGCCAAATAATTAAAAACCAAATCCACAGACATATAACAAGGAAGGATGATGCTTACACACTCAAATCCACCAGTGGAAACAGAATTACACCTTATCCTCTTTGTTAGTCTCACCTGCTGTTCCAAGAGCTAATCAGCAATTTCTTTGATTCTTTTTCTAAGGAACATAATCACCTGCCTCTAATGCCTAAATTACTTTTATTTAACATATCCCTAGCTATGCTGTTACAATAGAAATTTAAAAGAGAAAAATACAGAGAAAAAATATTTAGACATAATATAAAGTAAGCTGAGATAATGCAAAGGTTTATATTTATGCCTGACTTTCTGAACTCTGAGAAGTCCATAGCATTAAGAGACCGTTCACCTTGAGAAAAGTGAGCATGTGGGTAATTCTCTGCAAATGCTGTAATAAGGTATGACCCATACTGACTGCTCCTCTGCAGGAGCCATGCCTGAAGACTGTTGTGGTTCAAGCCTGGGTCTCAACAATATGAGGTGGGAGCACCTCATACAACACAATCCCCCACAAGTGGCACAAAGCAAGACACCAGCCTGGGACCTGCTGCAGGCACAGCACAAGGTGGATCAAGAAGAGGCAGAGCACTCATTCCTGCCCTTGCAGAGGGCACCTCTTCCAGCCACGTATCCTTGGGATTTTCTTTTACAACAACAAAGGAACAGGACCTCAGGTTACCTGAGTATTTTCCCAATGGGATGCACCCTCTCCCAGTACACCAGAGTAATGGCTCCATACTGGTATGCCAAGGAGAAATGCCAGCTACTGAATAACCAACATGTCCTGCAATATTTGAGGTCTGACTAACAACTTTTCCTGCTCTCCTCTTCTGGGAGTCCTGACAAGAGCACACCCACACACAGTTTGGCTTCAGTAGAGCTCTTTGCTTTGCTTAAACTGGATTATTCTGGGCTCCTCTTTAAGCGAACTGCTATTACAGGGGAAGCAGAGTCTCAAAATAAAAATGGGCTTTGTTACTCATATTTGATTTTCCACGTATTGATATTTCATCTTATCTTCTCAGAAGTTAATTAAAGAAAAGAAGGCATAAATAAAATTGGAAATTATCTAGAAGTAATCTAGAAGTGGGTCAGATTAATGCATTGTAATGTATGGGCTAGCATTTGAATTGCAAGTGATCCTGCTGGATAGAATTAGACTTATTTTACCCTCCTTTGGCTGGAAACCCACACAGGAGAACAAATTAATACTGGCAGCTGACGACGATCCTTTGGTGTAGGTGAATGGGCAGAGACCTTTCTGACTAGGAACAGAAGGTCCTCTCTATTTTATTCTCTGTAACTATGCATGTGCAGCCTGGCTGACAAATGTGATATGTGGGTAGCTTGCAGCCAGGGTTTTGAAACAGCTTGTTTTCCACCAGGACGCTTGCATTTCGCTTTGGCTGCTGGACAAAATATCTTTTTCCATCTGAAAAGAGGTTAAGGGAGATGGAGTTCTTATGCAGACACAGCACATGGCAGTGATAGCAAACCAGGGTTACACATCCAACTGTTTTACTTAAATCCATCAGTAGCTCAGATGCCAAGCCACTTAAGGGATAAGATGTCTCAAGCATATGGGATTGGCTGTGAGACTTAGGTTCATTAATGTTTGCAAATACCCATGGAAGAAGGGATTGCAGTTTACTGGTGGGTTTGTGAAAATTTAGAGATGAGTCTCTAAGAGATGCTGGCCTGCTCCAGGGCTTTATGTTTTTAGAAATCACAAAATACTCAGCCAAAGAAGAAAGAAAAATCCCATAAATATGAAGTAAAACAAAAGCAGGATTCATCTTTTGGGGTGGTTATGTAGGTTGGAAGAGATGTGGAATGTCATTTACCCAGAATAACTGGTAACGGCCAAGGGCTATGAAAGAACAATTCTGGTGAAATGTGAAACAAATGAGGTGACTTTGAGCAGTTGCTTTCACCAGAAGATGCCCAGGAACAAGTTGTTCCACTAATTTCAGCTGTCACTTTTTAAACACAGACCAAGCTGTTCACAATGAACACAGATCAAGCTGTTCATGCTGGAGTGGGCCGTAACGCAGCCTTACTTCTGCAGAATAACTACAACTGACCTTTAATGCCTGCAAAGGAGGGACTCTCCCTGTAGGAGTGTTCAGGCACATTTTTATTTGCAGAGACAAACCTGGAGCACACATGAAAAAAGATGGAATAACTTTACGTGACAAGACTGTAAAATACAGACCATGTCCAATGACCCATTACCGAGATCACCCAGCTTCAGCCTGAAGAATTTAGAAACCATCCCTTTTTACTAAATATTTAAGGTTACAAAATTTCCTGTATAAGGCAGTTGGCACTGTTCCTTTCAGAAAAGACAGTGGGTGACAGATCTCCTTGGGTGAGAATGGATGGAGCTGCGAGTGAAGACCACAGCTCTCAGTGAGTCACCAGAGCAAGTGTTAACCCAGCTGGCTGGGGTACCTCCAGCAACTGGCTGTGACTACGGCAGCTCCATGTTGGCCAGGTAGCTTTCCAGAGAGGTTTTGCTGAGCTCTTCATCAGTGCAGTTATGATGGAAATGCTGGATTTAGAGACTTCAAGTTTCTGCTAGCACTACAGACACAGCCAAAGCAGAAATTATTTCTACTACTTACAAATTTTCTGCTTCTCAGCTGAAGAATCTGAGACACTGCATTTTTGTAAAGGATGCCTAACTTCACAAATCCCTTTGTATCTTTTTCTGGCTTTCTTTAAGAAAAAAAGTAAGCAGGAGTAATTAATTTAGCAAAGTAAAAGTGAAGGGCACTTGAACAGTTCACCCATCTTCTGTTTTCTCCTCCTCTTTTCATGGAGTTTATCTGCAAAATTTAGATTCTCAGCAGCTGATTTCTTACAAAGAAAATTAATTTGAAGTATCTCCTCAGACCAGAGGCTTCAAAGCTCTCCATTTTCCTGCTCAGAGGGCAGGGAAGAGCCTCCAACTTCACATGGGCTCAATGTGACTGCAGTAACACTTTAAAACAGCACTTACAAGGAGCTGGTGAGCTGCCAGGTACAGCTATAATTGCTGCATCCAGATCAGAAGTGTTTCACTACCACCTTTTTTTTTAACCACTGCCAACTGTTGTCTTCTTCAAATTATCTATTTCCTTAACCACGTATAATGACTATAATACATATTTATTATAGATATCACATACATGCACACTTAATATAGCTACATGCACATCCAAACACAAATGCATTTCTAACCACCAGCATGCACAGATCATCTCAGTCCCACACAAACCCAAAGGGGATGTGTCACTGTCAGTGTCACATCATCATTTCCTTCCTTTTTTCTCTGTCTGTTACTGCCTGAAGGTTTGACTTTCCAAGGTCATGAGCAGCCAGTATTCACACACCTGTACAGGATCTGAGCAGAGCAAACTCAGCACACACACACACACACATACACACACGTATGCTGGAAATTTGCTGAGTCCTGTATTTAACTGCAAACTCTAGGGACACAGAACTCCTCTTGACACATTTTCTGAGATTTGTGCAATCTTATGGCCTCACAAGAATTATGTTTCCTCTGAGTATGAGGGCTGCAACCAGAATGGGATATGGAAGACCTAGTTTAAATATACCAAAATTGAGACCTATTACTACAAAAAATAACTTCAAATTAGGGGACTCAGACTGCTAACCTAAGAAGCTATTCCATTTCTAATGATCTTCACTCCCAGGAGAGCGAGCAATGCTGAGAAAACAAGGAACAACCTACTCATTCCTTGCATCTGGAGAACATTTCTATCCTCAGCTACTAAGCAGTGTAAAAAATTGGCAAGGTCAGAACCTTGCTGGTATACGCCTTCCCTTCCCGTACACAGCTCCAGTTCTTTCATTCCTTTTGTTCTTTGCTTTACTACTTCACAAGTGCATTTTTCTTCTCTTAACTCCTGGCTTCACTGGGTAATAGCATTTTTAGTGAGCACTGGTGCTCATTGTATTATTTCCATGACTGAGGAAACTCAGAGGTGCTAAGCTACCAAAAGACACCTTGAAGTCAGTGGCCCCTACAAGAATACTCCATATAATCACACAACTGCAAAAGGATGTATGCTGTACTATTTCCACCACTCTGAGGGGCTTGATTCCTACTCAGGAATGCAGATGAAGGCTCCATCAGCACGGCCTGCCATGAGGAGTTTTGCAGGGAGGACAGCTGGCTTTCCAACACCTGGAATCTTGCACTATCTCTGCCATGGTCTACAGCAGACTTATGAGGCTAACAGTACATTTGGCAAGACTCTGACATTGCAGGGAGACGTGTTTGAAATATGAGGCAGATGTAACACGCTGTAAAATAGCATCGCATTCAAAGGCAATTGGGAAAAGC